GAAAAATGTTTTAAAATCTTCTTCTCAAGAACCATTGAGACAGGAAAGGTGAAAGTCATGTGAAATCATCATCAGGTAGTGTAGATTCAAATTTGTTCAAATCATGACCTCTGGGGGTAGAGTCCGGCCACAATGGTCGATCAAAGTTTTGCATAGGAATATGTTGGGAAATCTTTTAAAATCTTTTTCTCAAGTATTGCAAAACCATGATGAGCGATATTTATATGGAAGCATCCTCAGGTATATGTAGTGTAGATTTTAGTTTGTTCAAATCATAACCCCCAGGGGTAGCGTGGGGCCACAATGGGGGTCCAAGTTTTACTTAAGGAATGAATTTAATAGCTACCCATTTTATATGGTATAAACTGGGTTGGGGCAGTTTACGCTTTATAAATCGCGAAGCGGTTTATAAAAAAGCGCAAGCTGTTCCAACCAGTTTATACCGTATAAAATGGGTAGCTATTAAATTCATTGCTTATAATTTAATTTTCATTCATTTGATGTAAAAAAAAAAAAAAAAAAAAGGTGATTGTTCTAACAAAATGATTTCAGTTTGTACAAAATTTGAATTTAACGTCGGGCGGATTAATACGTTTTTGACGCAAGTCATTGTGACGTAGGCAACCCATTTTATACGATATAAAGTAATTTTTTTATCCAATCAAATACATCGTTACAACCAGAATTAAATTATATTAAAATATATTTTTAAAAATGTCCTTCTCAAGAATAGCAAAACCATGATTAGTGATATTCACATGGAAGCATCCTCAGGTAGTGCAGATTTTAGTTTGTTCAAATCAAAACCCCCAGGGGTAGGATAGGGTCTCAATGATGGATTAAAATGTAACGATATAAGAATTATTATGAAAGCATACGCATGCACGTGTCCTGCAATCTGATTGTCTGAAACTTTGAATGCCTATAACTTTCTTGGTTTTTCAACAACGTTGTCGTATAGGGTGGTGCCAAAATGAAAGTTAAAACATGTAGTGTACATTCTTAGCTGATTTTGTTGAAATACGATGTAATACCTCCTTCCTTTTACAGGTAGATCATGACCATTTATGCATATGAGCGTGATTTTTACTATTTTCCCAGCCACAGCACTCAGGTTACCGATATGACCCTTCAGCCTCTTGTTATTCTAAGAGGCAGTTTTATTGTCTTTTTTATAGTGTATCAATACAATACTTTTTAAATTACTATTGTCTCAATTCTTACAAACATACATGAACAATCTCGCCATACTTCAATACACTAAGTTTGTCTTTGAATAGTAGACCATAGAATATATACAGTATTGAAAGAAGATAAGGACACGATTTTCAGCGTGTTATTTAATATAGTCTATGAAAATAGTGAGTTTCTGATAGGAAAAGGATAAGGTACAATATGGTCTCACGTAAGTTAAGTACTGTACAAGGTCTAAGTGTATAAGCTTTAATATTTTTTTAAAAAGGAATACTAATTCACTTTTTGTTTTTTCAGGAATTTTAGCTATATTTTTACTGGTTATATCTCTAAATTGTAAGTATGAAAGCTTATTTATCTGAACCTTTGTTTCATTAAAATACATTTGGAATGAATTGTTCAGAATAATTATTAAACCTATGAAATTACTTCGCTATATACGTAATTCGTTATAACCGTATAAGAAATTCATTAAATTTATATAGCTGGGGATCCAAGATGACTTCGCTATTTCCGTAAATTAGCAATATCAGTGCTAAACGAGTTTTGTATTGTATTACGGATTTCTCAATCAGTAGAATAACAAGCCATATCAGTGGCTAGGATCGTCTCACAACCTACCTTGGATTTATTGTCGATACGGTCTCGTAGAATTCATGACCTCGCACATGATTACATATATGAACAAAGCTTTTTTTCAATAATATATACATGATATTTTATCCTTCTTTGATTTCAACTACATGTATACTTTATAAGCTCATATCTATGTATTTCAAAATACATGTAATAAGCTAAACACTTTTAGAAATCAAACTTATAGAGGGAGGGGTCATCATTTAAATATCAATGTCCTTAAATATTACAAATGTATCACTGAAAATGATATGTGCTCTGACAACGTTTCTAATGATATAATGACTCTATTAGTGCGATGTGTCGAGGTTCTCGGTTATCTGACTTACTATTGAATTTCTGCATTTACCTCCTTCCTGAGTTCAGAGGCAAATATTGTTATTTGATTTTTTTTTATAATTTAGTGTCATTTTCCGACTAGATAAAAGCAAAAAAAATATTTTCAAAGAGAACACGATGTGAGTTAAATATAGTATATTATGATTTCCTTTGATTATTTTAAATTTCCAAAAAGGCAAAAAATTAGGGAACCACGATCTTTAAACTTTCGACTTTTAAATTGTATACCAAACCATTTTTTTTTCAGCGATACATTATAGTCCAGGCTGCTTTTTGATATCATTGACAATTAGTTTCTTTTCCAGTAAAAATGGAACTCATAAATTTACTTACCTTGTCATTGGCCATTTGCAAAATTATTTCGTTAAATAAATTTGATTGTACACATACACTAGGTACTCCGAAGTTGATATCAACAATATGTTTGAGTTTCTGATTGACAATATCCATGTGGTGTTTGGAGATCAGGTATTTCAACAATTATTTGGAATATCATACTAGGAGTTTTATTTTTGTATTCATAAGAAGCAGAGTTTGGCCAAAATCTTATACGTAAAAGAAGATGCTTGCTGTAGCTTCAACTCGAAATAATGGTTACATCAATACTTATAGCGATACGACATATCCCAGTGAGCTTGAATAAAAAATACCTCAGAGTGTGACACTTCTGTTTTTTATTTGGATATTTTACTTGAAAAAGACGTTAATGTAAATCTAACAACCAAGCTTTATGATAAACGCTATGACTTTAACCTTTCATTTGTCAACTTCTCTTATTTATGCAGATGTGTGTCTACATCACCTGATGTTTATGTGGTGGATTTGATACGCAATAGTATGCTCTACGTTTTTGCAATTTTCATTGTTGATAAACAAAGGCTGATGACACAAGAATATCAGCAGTCTCCTTTCAAGTTACATTTCGTAAATTATACAGTCGATACAATGGCAAATACTTTTTATCACTGAGTCAAATGCTGACTACAGCTCATTATATTAATTGTTAAGCCATTATTTACACACGGCATTGTCGACGGATCTTTCCGTATTTCCCAATCATGACAAGGAGCACAAGGTGGGTGTGACCGGTCGGCAGGGGATGCTCACTCCTCCATGGCACCTGATCCCATCTCTGATGATTTGGAAGTCTGTATTTGCTCTGCTCCAATTTTGTATTGTTTTATGGACTTTTGAACTTGAATACCGTTCGTTTACTCCATATATTTTGTGCATATGAAACAATTAATATGCCCTCTATGGCAAAATTTTTAAAAATGCTGTCTCCCATTGAAAGACCTTGTCCAAGGGGTTGCGAACGCAAAATAAGAAATTCCTAGCTTCATTAGGTTTAATTTAAAGCTTTTCAAATATTGCTTATACTCCAAGGGCAAAGTCAGTATGCTTGCTTCGATTGTTTAATAGTTATTGGCAAGGTTAAAGTTTATCAAATATAGTTCAACTCCAAGTTTAAGGTCAGAAGTGTGTAATTAAAGGTCTGGTCACCTGAAAGCTATGTGTTAGATATAAAAACCACTGCACCTTTCATTTAAAAGTTATTACCAACGTAGTTCAAATTCAAGGTTAAGGTGACTTTTGTTTGTACCCAAAGAAAGTTTTTGTCACAAAGAAAATACAGATGCGAAAGCTCTAACACCAACCATTCAAAGGTTATGGACAAGTTTTGACACACACAAGCGAACATATTTACTAAAAGACAGATAGACAGACTAATCAAATCTATATGTTTCCGAATTTTCGGCATCCGGGGTGTAAAAATTTAAGTGCGGAAGAATTTAAAAGAAACTACTAAAGATTTGCCAACAAAGCTTTACTGGTACATGTATATGTTTGTTCATGAAACAATGGTTAACATAGTAATTATGAAAATGTCCAACAATGTTAGAGAGTGTTCAACATTATCAGTAATATTGATTCACAATTATTTTTTCTGATTTATTTTTTAACAACTTTTCATTTTTCTTTATACATCCTCTCTTGATACAATATATGTAAATAAAAGTCCTGGCTTTTTGACATCATTGACAGCTGCTTTTGTGAAATAAAAAAGGAACTCGTTGATTCATCTACAAAATTACTTTATTAAAATATTTTGATTGCACACACAAATACTCTGAAATTGATTTTTGAAAAGATGTTTGAGTTTCTTGGCTATATCTATCTTGTACTCCATGGAAGGGGATGCTCACTCCTCCATGGCACCTGATCACAACTTTATTTTTTATAGGTCCTTGTTTGATCTGCCCCTCATCTAAGTTGTTGAATGAACATTTGAAGTTGAATATTTCTCGTTATTAACATACATTTTATTTTTATCTTCTAAGAAAGATAATTTTTCTAGATATTCCAAATTTGAATTAAGGTAAAAAATCTTAACAGCTATAATGGAATTCTATATTAACATTCAAATAAAATTCATAGATTGCCAATCGTTCTTTTTGGACGGACTGAACACGCTGAACACGCATCATTCGATTTCAGGTAAGATATTACAGGTTATTAAATATCTTGGCATTTTTTTCTTGCTTTCATGTTTTAAGCATTGTGGAAAATTTATTTCATGAATTGGCCATGCTGTAAATACAGGCTTATTGGATAGAATTATAAAATTAATTACTCAAAAGAGCCACCTATGATAAATTGTGTTGTACAGCAAAGTCAGGTGTGAAATTTTGAATTCTTTGGAAAAGTTTGGTTTTAAAAATGTACGTTTTTAAACATTATGAGAATAATCTTTGAAATTTCTTTTAGGAAAAACATCAAGGCATATCAATTTGAAATTTAATCAATTCACAATTAATATATGCATATATTATCAGCAATAATATTGGAAACATAGATGATTGCAGGCATACTGAAGCAGACATTGTCTTTCTCCTGGACGCTTCCTCTAGTATGAGGCCGGCTGGTTTTTCAGACGTCCTTCATTTTGTGAATAAACTTGTTGGAAAGTTTACTATAAGCAGATCAAACGTACAAGTCGGCGTAGTAACTTTCTCCAGCACTCCTCACCTTGAATTTGATCTGACCAGATATTTAGACGATCATCGTTTACATGACGCGATTCATCATATCAGCTTCACCGCACATGGGACGGACACATTACCTGCTCTTAAATATGTTGAAAGCTCCAGTTTTGAACACGGCCGAGGAGCCAGACCAGATGCCAGTCATATTGTAATCCTTATAACTGACGGGGTGGTTATACATTCCTCCCATTATCCATCTCATCAATCGTGAGTGTCACTTTCTATATGAAAACTCGTCATGATTCTGCTATCTAAACATTAAACATAATTACATGCTATGTTTGCACATACATGTAATATCAGGGAGTATTTGAGGTTTGAATTTCAGGTGGTCAACGGTAATAGAGTTTTCAATTCTGTAAGGTGCTGATAAAGATGACTGTATAGTTAGACAATGTCTTTTATCACAATCGATGTATTTTAATATACTTTTAGCGTGCACTAACAGATTTAAATCAGTTTTACTTGATATATGCTAAATTATTGCAGTTTTTTATATTACATATTATGACTGTTTCTTGAGTGAACGAATTGGTTAATATTACCAGGTTTAGAGACACAAATGTCTGATAATTTCCATTTGATTTATTCATTTATGATACGCAGCGGGCATGTTACTCCTAGTAGCCACCACGGGCATCTTACCCACAGCAGCCACGTTCAAGAAGGTCCAGCTGAATTAGACCACATCATCGGTTTGATGAAAACAAAAGGGATGGATGTTATAGCCATTGGTGTGAACGTGCATAACAGTAATTTATTGAGGAGGATAGCAAGGGACTTCTCTAACTACTTTACCGTCTCGAATTCTTCAGAGCTTACCCACAGGACGAATGCTGTAGCTCAAAGAATCTGTAAGTATTCATGTTAGGACAGTAAGTAATTAAACGTCAAAGAGTTAATCTTTGCTATCCGAAACTTTTTCTGGAGAATGTTTTTTAACCTCTTCAATATATCATCATTGAAAAAAAATCATCTAGATCTATGGTAAATGTGAGTAGAAATGTTTGTCTTCGTAGGTGCAGGGACGCGACAAAGAAAGATAACAACTACCCAAGGTAACTACATGTATGAAGGAACCATTCAGTTGACTTACCGTTTCTTCAGAATTGGGTATTTTTCTTATTTTTAATATTGGAATACAGAATGTTGACCTGACACAAAAGGAAAACTGGTATCCTTCTGTAAATCTAAACATTTCGTGTTCTTATCTTAAATTTGAAGCAGTTACATATTAAAATATAAAATCAAAAGCATGTAATTCAAAGTACATTGGATTTAATTACTTAAGTTCTAAGCTCAGAGTGAAGTATTTTATAGATAAATTCAACAGTTAAAGTAAAATATACGGAAAATATTGAAAATTAATGCTTTTGCAAAATATTTTCATGTAATACATTACAGTTCCGTCCACAACAAAAACCACTCATATCTCTACTACAAGAACCGTAAGCACAACCCCTAGTACAACTTACAAAGTATCAACCCCCAGTACAACTCATCAAGTAACAACCTCCAGTACAACACACAAAGTAACAACCCCCAGTACAACACACAAAGGTTTGTACTCGTAGTCAGGTTGTACATTTGCATATATGTGATCTTATATTTTATATTTTACTTTCAGCAGGCCATTATTGTATTTTTGTTTTCAAAATGAAATTATAATTGAATTGAGCAATATAAATTTATGCTATGCATACTCTGGTTATTATTTTTAAACATCCATTGAAAAAAAATCAGACATTATTTTTTTTTATTTTCAGATCTTAGCTGTGTGGACAAGGTAGACAACTGTTATCAGTTTGAGACTTATTATTGCATGCCACCGTATGATACATGGGCTAGGGCGAACTGTCCGGCATACTGCGGATACTGTAATGGTTTGTTAAAAACTATCTATCAATTGCAAGTGTCTCCTCTTATAATACGTGTATCATACACACTCAAATTTCAGGCAGTGTATATCCACTTTGCAAATAGCTCAAGAACTCGTTTTTGTGGTCGTTGTATGCTCTGTTATCAGCAGACCTATTTTTGTATTCATATGTAGCAGAATTTATGCAAAAAACACTGCTTTGTCCTTCAACTCGAGATTTAAATATATAGACGGCGTATTGTCAATTAACAATTGTAATTTCCATTCATATGTCTATACTATATATCCTGATGAGCTTGAGATAAAAGATACTACAGAGTCTGGCACATCTGTTTCATACTTGAAAATTTTACTTGAAAAAGACGTTAATGGTAATCTAACAACCAAGCTCTATGATAAACGTGATGACTTTAACTTTACAATCATCAACTTCCCTCACTTATGCAGCAATATACCATTATCAACTGCATACGGAGTTTATATATCTCAGTTGATTCGATATGCAAGAGCATGCTCTACGTATGAACAATTTCTAAAACGAGGTATATTATTGACAAACAAGTTGAAGAAACAAGAATATCAGCAGTCTCGGTTAAAACCATCAATTCGTAAGTTTTAAGGTCGATACAATGACCTTGTCAGCAAATACAATTTATCATTGAGTCAAATGTTGACAGGCGTTTTTCATGCTAGTTGTTAGCCCATGATTTATACACTGAATTGTCGACGGATTTTTCCGTTATTTCCCGATCATGTCAAGGAGCACACGGCTGGTGTGACCGGTCGGCAGGGGATGTTCACTCCTCCATTGTACCTGATCCCACCTCTGATATTTAGCAGGTCCGTGTTTGCTCAGCTCCTGTTTTGTATTGTTTCATGGACTTTCGTATTGAATACTGTTATCTCCATTTCCGTATCGCATCATGACGTATAACAATAGAATTTATTTTTTGGATAATGAATAGAGTGTTCTTATCCCTTAATCTCAGATAATCTAAGGTAATTTGAAATTAATATAAAAATTTGTACAAAGATAAAACAATAAATTTAATTATAGTTATTGGAGTTACTTTTTTTGTATGTGTGGATGAAATAATCTGTTGATTTTTTTTTAAAAAAATTGAAGGTCAAGGTGGGGTCCGATGCTGTATGTCCGTTGCACATATAAATATGATTAATCTTCTCAATTAAAATGTCTTTGTATAAAAGGAACATAACAAAGATTTAACTTTTCAAAATGCAAATTATATTTGATTCCACAGGGGGTGAAATACAAAATCCCTACCTGTTCATTATGGCCAAGGAAGGATTTTTTGATAGCACTGTCACCACTACAGGTACAACAACTACAGCGGATATAACAACAGCATTAACAACAACAACAACACCTGATATCACGACTACAACTACAACGGATATAACAACAGCAACAATACCTGATATCACGACAGCAACAACTACTATACGCCCTACAACACCAACCACTGCTCAGATATCACAAGGCAATCCCTTGTTTGGCTACACGATCATAAAATCATTTTCTTTTAATCATAAACATATATGAACCATACTGTTTCCTTTTTTAAACAATTTATTCAACTATTTAAATCCCCTCAAAAAAGGTATTTGAAAACCCCAATTAAAAAGAAATATGACAAAGAAGATTTGATTTCAATATATGCTTTTAAAGAAGCACAAATAACAATATTATATCATCGTTTTATTCCATGATCTTCTCAGGATCGGTCAATAAAACTGTTTGTCCCACCTGTGATGAATTTCTCTCCTGTGTTTGGAATCAGACTTGTGACCTCAATAACGTGTGTATGGTGCGTTCAGTGCCTGGCAGGAAATTCAGCACTCACTGTATCAGGGTAAACCATCAGTATTCTACAGTTATGTTTTGCACATAAAATACTTTAGCCTATTAAAAAAGAATCGAACTTTAAAATTATAACCCTTTGCCTTGAAATGGGGTAGGTGTGTCTGTGGGGGTAGGTGTGACTGTGGGGGTAGGTGTGTCTGTGTGGGTGGGTGGGTTAATTTTCGTTGCTTGTGAAGTGACCTATGAATTTGAACTCTCAATAAAATGTATATAGTCAATCGAGGAGTTTGAAGTTTCTCATTTAAATACGGTTTTTTGTCCTCTCCATTCAATCTTTAACCAGGAAAACTGGACCCCTGAAAAATAATTGATTTTGTAGTATTTATTGCTAGGAAATTTAGTTTTAATTCTTGTCAATATTACTCTTAGATGAACCTTGCACCTTAACTTTGATGACTTGATGACAAACGCATTGACATTGAGTCTCATAAAAACAAAAATTACATAGTTTAAATTCATAACTGGATTATTACTTATAGTGTTAAAGGTTAAGTAATTAAAACAAAATTAGAAACTCTATTGGAACCAGATTTAGATTTCTGAGATTGGCATCAAAGATACACAAAGTCACCTCTTTCTTCCAGGTGGACGACTGTGAGATTATGAAATCTTTTGCAAAGAGCACTGGTGAGGGAGAAATATTTTGCTGCTCCAATAGGGAATGTCTCTCGGAATATCTTGGAGTTTGAAATGGTGGAAATGAGGGAGAAATAACTGTTGCTCCATTATGGGAATTACCCTAGAAATGTTTTTGAATTCAAAATGGAGGAAATAAAATTTGATTGAAAAATGATTTCTTTAAGTTGCTTCTAAACCTTTCAATTATAACAAACTTTGCAGTGTCTAGATATTGAACATCTAAAACAAAATCTCCTTAAATGATTTTTGCTTTTCTTCTTTTTGGTTTTAACAATAGTCCTGGTGGACACGTCATTATAGGTAATGATAGTAAAGTTGAAAATGAAGACCTTAAAGGATTATCTTAAAAGATCCAAAATGCCAGGAGACCTGTTGTTTTAGTTGGAGACAGAACTAATTTTCTAATATGAATAATCTAATATTTTTAAATATATTAAAGAATAAAAATATACGGAGATAACGAACAAAATTCAAGACCAAAAGTCCATAAAACAATACTAAATAGGAGCAGAGCAAACACGGACCTCCAAAAAGTCAGAAGTGGGATAAGGTGTGCCATTGAGGAGTGAGCATCCCCTGCCGACAGGTCACGCCCGCCGTGTGCTCCTTGACATGATCGGGAAATAACGGAAGAAATCTGTCGTCAATTCAGTTTGTAAATAATGGACAAACAGATGGTATCAAAAACGTCAGTTTGAATTTGACTCAATGATAAACTGTATAAGAGATAAAAAAAAAGTCATATGCAAATTATCTATCTATTCTTCCGTTTTACCAAATCCGAGATGAACGAAGAATTAGAAGGACTAAAACAGCAGTACAATATGCTATGGTTCCAGCCGACAAAGCTTGTAACAATGTGTTTGCAAAGTTCACTGTTATTATTGTATTTTCGAATGAAACAGTTTTAAGTTTTCTTTACAAAATCCAACTTATATTAAGTACTCGAATTTCACTTTCTTGAATCTTAAAAAAAATCATATTTTACCATTTAAAACTTTTAACATTCCTGTCAGCCACGGCTTATTAAACCCTACCTCTATTGGCCTTCCACTCGACATCAAATTTTAAATCGACGATATATTGTCAAAACAGTAAACAATATAATGAAGATACTGTGTACTTTCATTCATATCTCGATTCAATATATCCCAGTAAACTTGAAGTAAAAGACACTACAGGGTCTGTCACACCTGTTTCATATTAAGTGTTTTACTGATTATACGCGTAGACAATAAAACCAACTAACGACTAAATTTTATGACAAACCATATGACTTCAACTTTCCCTGACGAAGCAGGTAACAACATTGTCTTCGTTTGTAAGGCTCATTATATAAATTGTGTTTTAGAAGAACTTTATTGGTAATCCAATTTATACTGGTTATCTTTCTAAGAAAAAAATTCTTCAAAATCATATGTCAATTTTGAATATTTTTAATATCCCAAAGAACCAAAATGAATTTTAACTACCATATCTATATTGGATTCCCAAACTTCATTAAAATCCTTGCAAACAAAGACACATAGAGGGTTCCTCACTAAGATATTAACAGAAGTGGATGAGAAACTTTAGGAGTACTGTGCAACAATATATTTTAAAAGTGGTGTAAATCAGAAGTGGATATTTAAAAATTCCAAGAAACGTTTGGACAATTTGAAATCATAAGATTTTACCAAAAGCAACAGCTTAAAAAATATGACTTTTCAACTTTGATTATTCACAACCATTTCCAATGATAAATTAAAGTCCAGGCTTTTCACTAACAAATGACAGCTAAACTTTTTTACGTTTTTATTTCACGTGAACGTAAACGAGCGTTTCACAAAACATGTTAGACGTAGCACTTGTCATTTGCAAAATTATTTGTTAAAAAACTTTAAGTGCACACAAGTAAAATTGAGAAGCAGACGAACGTAAACAAATGGAGGAAAGGAAGGCGAATTGGTCGGAGGCATCCATCCACCTTTTGGTATCTTTTGGTGACGGGATTCAGAGCGATGGGCCATAATTCGTGGAAAGTTTGGCCCATCGCTCACCATTTTTGTATTGAAAGCAAAAAGCTTGGGTTGAAGTAACTGAAAGGTATACATATTAGATATAGGCCCATCGCTCTGGATCCGTCACCAGATCGACCAAAAGGTGGATGGATGCCTCCGACCAATTCGCCTTCCTTTCCTCCATTTGTTTACGTTCGTCTGCTTCTCAATTTTACCTCCGGCACTGAAGAGTTCCTTAAGTGCTCGTAACTCGGAAATCGTAAGTGCTACGTCTACGACATGTTTTGTGAAACGCTCGTTTACGTTCACGTGAAATAATCGCAAACGTAATCGTAAGTTTACGATCTACGATTTGTTAGTGAAACGGTCGCCTGTTTCATATCTGGATATGTTACTTGAAAAAGACGTTAATTTCCTGACGTCACGGAGTCAGGCACTACTAAGGATCAATATTTCCTAGGTACGAAGCTAAGAGGTCACAGTTAGCCAGCAAAATTTTGTGCATGCAGATTATCATCGGATTTTGTTACATGCGTTTCAGCAACAACAGTTAGCAGAAAAATAACCATATTGCTGATACAATAGATTGTTGTATTTATTTCCTTTAGTTTTTTGCTAGCAGCTATTTATTTCATGCGAGTTCTTATATAATGTCCGTTTGACCTTTTTTCTGCGTTTCTATACTACTGGATTAGTCCATTTGTCTTCTAGGTAAGGGGTGACACAATCATTTTGCGCTAAAATGTCACGTGTAAGTCTTTGCGCCCTCTTACTGGACTGGAATGAAAACTGCATGAATAATATAAAGTCTGTTCTTTTTTGTCGGAATCTTGATCAAGTTTTGGAAATAGAAACATATCGGTGATATTGGTAATTAAGTGAGTTAGAAGTTAACATCATTTAAAGTAATAAAAACGAAACGAACAAAGACCTCTTAAGAGGATGTACTGGCCAAATATACATCTGATCACCCCCTCCAGGGGTTTCCTCCACAGAGTATAGACTTATGAAAGTGTCCTGTCACAGTTCAGGATTGAGAAAGTTTATAACTTTTTTGCTAGTACAAATATTGTTGATGTGGACCCCTCATCGCTGGGAAAAACTTCCTGATTCCGCACTTGTCGCCATTCATATATCGCCGTCAAGTTTGTTGGGTCATTTAAGCATATAGGGCTTTAATTATTTATCCCACGTTTCAAACAATCTTTGATCCTCTGGCATACCCAAGAAACTAGTGAACATATCCTTCATGTCAGTCATAACCGTTAAGATTCCCAATTTCTTGTAGTTTTATTTTCAGCTGTCTTCCTCAAAGCCAATGCTGTATGCAGTTGAATCTAATTTATGTAATCTTTACATGTAGCCATGCTTTCAATCATTAATCAATTACATTAGTGTTTTCCCTTATTTACTTCATCCTCTAAAACCATTTTTAGAGGTGTTCATCTTTACGTCGCGGGTTCGAATCTACAGCGGGACATGTACACGATTTCATTTTTTATTTGAGATACAAAAAATATATACGTTTTGATTAAAATTGTTCTTTTTCCATTGCTCTGATGAGTATCATACAACTTAAAGTGAATGCATGATGTTTTGTGCAACATCTTCGTAATTTACTCTTGTGAAATAATTTAACCCCCCCCCCTCCCCCAAAGTAAACGTTTTTAACTTATCATGCTTATAGGTTCTATAGATATTGATGGCATTAGTCAGGCAAGCTTTTTAAAAAGCTGTTACTTGTGGTAATCTAACAACCAAGCTCTAAGATAAACGTGATGAGTTTAAATTTACAATCGTCAACATCTCTTACTTATGCAGCAATATACCTTCATCACCTCCAAACGGAGTTTATATATCTCAACTGATTCGATACGCAAGAGCATGCTCTATGAACAAACTCTCAAACGAGGCAAATAATTGACAAACAAGTTGATGAAACAAAAATTTCAGCAGTCTCGTTTAAAGTCATCATTTCGTTAGTTCTATGGTCGATACAATGACCTTGTCAACGAATACAATTTATCATTAAGTTGAATGCTGATTGAAGTTTTTCATTATAATTGTTAATCCATTATTTATACACTGAATTGGCGACGGATTTTTTCCGTTATTTCCCGATCATGACAAGGAGCAGACGGTGGGTATGACCGGTCGGCTGGGGATGCTCCTTCCTCCATGTAATCTGATCCCACCTCTGATGTTTTGAAGGTTCATGTTGCTCTGCTCCTATTTTGTTTTGTTTTATGGACTTTAGATCTTGAATACTTTTCGTTATCTCCATACGTTTCATTATATTACCAAACTTATTCGCTACTTACGAGCATGGTCTGAGTAAGGTACCGACAGATACAGTAAATTAATGTTACAGGGATTTCAGTATATGGTCGTTATGATGACCATGTTCGCTAATATACTAGTAACCTATCATTGGGTCGTTTTTTGACTAACTAGTTTTATACTGATTGCCAAGCCTTAAGTTGTTTTGGTACTTAATTTGACCACGGAATGTTCAATCAACCTGATCAATACAAAGGGATCACGGAGGATTTGTCCGGCTACTCCTCGTCGTCACCAGAGTCTCTGAAAGTTTTAAGCGTCTTTGCTTTTTACCCTCCTAACAGATCTGTATTGTTTTTAGATTTTTTGAGATTGATCTTTGTTCGTTATCTTCACCCTTTCCTTGTCTTTATTTCAACAATCATTCAGTTTTCCCCTACTTCTGCATTTGTGTGACCAATCAATAGAGAATGCTTACTCCTCATAGGCACCTGATCCCATCTCTTTGATTTACGGGGATTCTTGTGTTTGTTTTTTGTTGTTGTTTTTTTTGTTTGTTAAGAATTTTTAGATCGAACATTGTACGTTATTTTCGTTTTCTTTTTATTTGTCCGTTTTATTTTCCAGGATCATATAGATTTTAAGGTGCATTAGGTATCAAAGTAATTTCTGTTTTACTATATTTGCCATTTATTTATTTATTACATTTGCCTATTCAAATATAATTAATATTACATATTTCTACATTAAGAAGACTAATATATCTTTTACATAAAACTATAATTTCTCCCCTTATTTTCAGATAGGATAATTTACAGGGTCTACAGGCGTATACATATCAGCAGGAGGCAGTAATGGGGGACAAATAATTGAATCTCCCAGTAGTGGAAATTTTATGAAATTTGGAACCAGTGCCCATTTCTCGTTCCAGCTACACTTTGTGATTCTTCCTCTTATTTCATTGACCTCAGGCCGGAACAAGGCTGAAAGAGAAAGAGTTATTGTCCTCTGTAGAATATTGTAGGGTCTTTCTTGCTATGTTATGAATACCAATAAAATATCAACATTACAAAATACATAGACTTATATATAAATGATATGGAATGTTTTTAGTAGGAGCTAGAATTTATTTCATTTGTGTGACAGGGCATTCTGATATTTTCACAGATGCTAGCACGATTAAAATTATCAAAATATCTTAAGAGTGATATAAATTTCATAATAATTTAACTTTGAATTAATTAATTTTCTGCCCATTACATTAAATTTTTCTTTGATTTCCCTCTACCTCTGTTTCATAGTGCCATAGGATGCAAAGTCATAGCTAAGCGATTGGGGAATGAAATATTGTATTTACGGATATCAGCAACATATATTTTGAGAAACTTTTGCTATTTAAATCTCTGTCAGGATTGTTTTTTTTACTCTTCTTATAAAAGACCAACTTTGCTGCACTTCTGTTATTCCTTTACACTGACTTAATATTACTTTTATTTGATTAAAAAAAATATTGTTTCTCAATGTTGAAAATGTTATAAATAAAAATACAAAAGGTGTTTTTACATTATAATGTCAAGTAGTTTTGGACTGTTTTGTGCTGAAATTAACATATGTTCATATGTATGGGGAAAAAAAGCAAACGTAGCGGGTATTTTAGCATGCACAAAATTAGATCAAGATAAAAACTAAAAAGTAAGATAAAAGTCTTCATCAGCCACCCAAATATTCAAAAGAAACTGAAGGCAATGACTCTCCACAATAAACAAAAGATTCGAAACCTCAAACTTTTCCGTTTTTCTTCCTCAAGAATTTTCTTAAAATAGAAGCAAATTATACTATAGAATACTTTAAAGTGAGACATACCATTGAAAACATACTCTTGTCCTGTTTCTAGTTGGACACCACACTCCGTGACGTTGACTGGGCTCTCCAGCTCCACGTAACGCGGACTCTCGCTCGCCTGTTTATATATAGTAACTGGTTATGTTATCATCTTGTGTAACAATTTACATAACTTAACTCAATTTTATATTATATATATATTAATTTGCATTTTTTTTTTGAGATTCGAATTATTGTAATTTACAGTGTAGTGCAAGATAATGAAGCCTACCGGTAAATGATTTAGCATGCGAACTCGTATGACATGGACCATGGAAACTCTATCGTCTGACAGGAATTTGCCGACTGGCATCCCAATTAAACCTAAATAAAAATTGATATACTGATATCAACATGCCCTTTTTTCTCTATAGCTGAGAATTATGTCCATCTTGGATGCATATGGGTAAACATGCATGCAACCAGCGAGATTTTGGTAGAACCTTTGCTACTGTAGAAAATGGTAATTGACTTTCTGGTCCATTTATTTTGACGCTCTTGATAATTGCATAAATGAAATGAGTGAAGAAAACGAACAGTAATCGACATAAAAAAGGTGGTAAACAAAAAAAAAAAAAAAAAATGAAAAAAAACAAAACGCTAAAGAGGGTATAACACTGACGCCTGGAAATTTCAGAAGTAGGATCAGTTGTCTAGAGGAGAAAGCATCCCTTTCGACCGATTCCACCCACAATACCCCCTATGTTTAGATCAAGGAACATTCCGTTTTCTAATTCATTTTAAAAACAAAGGCCTAACAAATGGGATGAAACAAGTTAGCCAAAATACGACTCAGTAAAAGGTAATATTTGCTTTAAAGGGGTCTTTATATTGACCACAGAATTTTAAAAAATGCTGACTATAAACGAGATTGTTGAAATCCCTGTAACACCAACTTATCTGTCAGTAGCCTGCCTCGGATTAAAAACTGATTGTACTCGGAATATGCTCGTTGTTATTAGATAAGTAATTAGTTTCGTAATTGAAATTAACGCATTCAAACATTGTACCATTACAATGTTTCCAAACTTATGAGAGATAAATTACACTCTCACCTTTCAGTGGCTTTTTAAAACTTTAAATTAAATGATTGAAGATCTTGTCACTTATTTTTGTCAAGAACACCGATATATCACAAAATGGACTCACTCTAATTGCAGTTTTGGGAATTATGACCACTTCATTTGACAGAAGACATCTGCATGGGAGAGAGATAAATTTATGAAATATGATGCTCAGGAAAGGCCAAATAGAGCCATACGTTATGTATACTAAGCCATACTAGTCGTTTATTCTCTCCTCAAATCGATGTTTAGGATTGGGCTCTGGGAATTCAAAATTCTTTTTTAAAAAAAACACTATGCACCCGGTGGTAACAAAATTTTTAAAAAGTTATTTTTAGCTTATATGTTACAGTCAAGGTCACAAGGCCATTGACTTAGATGTCATTTGAAAGATCTTGATTAAAAACGTATGGATACCAAATATGAAGTCTCTACCTCTTACGGTTCAAAAGTTATGGCAAAGGTACGAAAAAACTATTTTAAGCATACAGGTCACAGTCAAGGTCACAAGGTCATTGACTTTGGTGTCAATTAAAAGAGATTAATTAGTGGAGTAAGCATAATAAAAATGCAGTCTCTATCTTCTATGGTTCGAAAATTATGGCAAATGTACAAAAAAACTATTTTTAGCATACAGGTCACAGTCAAGGTCACAAGGTCATTGACCTTGGCGTCATTTGAAAGAGCAAAATTAGTGGAGTATATATACCAAATATGAAGTCTCTATCTGTCATGGTTTAAAAGTTATGGCGAAGGTTAAAGTTTGCAGATAAAAAGCTAATTTTAGCATATAGGTCACAGTCAAGGTCACAAGGTCATTGACCTTGGAGTCATTTGAAAGAGCTTAATTAGTGAAGTATGCATACCAAATATGAAGTCTCTATCTTTCATGGTTCAAAAGTTTTCATGGTGAAGGTTAAAGTTTGCAAACAAACAAACAAACAAACAAACAGACAGACAAACAGGACAAAAACAATATACGCCCCAGATTTATATATCCCCGCGCATAACAATTAAATTCGGATACAAATTTAGGGTTCTCTTTTTTTTCCCGGAAAAAAGATCACTAGTATCGATTGATAATGTACCTTAAAAGTATCTTCAATAAATTAGAACTAAGATTGAAATTATTTTTCATGCGAAGCTAGGAATTAGAAAACTAGATAAAATGGAAAATAAGAGAATATATATCTTAATTAAAATCAGGATGTTTAAAGAGTATTGTATATCTTTATAATTTTTACCTTTTAAGGTAGGATTCTTCTCTGGTTTCTGAGTAGATGAAATATTCAATAAATATTCAATGAATATTTGTTTATATGCCTTATATATTTAGGTGAAAGAGATTTAAAAGACCATTTTTTTTCTTTTCTCATCACAATTGTACAACTTTAAATAGAAATATTAAATTGTGTTCGAAAACTAGCAGGGGCTATATTTTCGGCGGAATGGTGGCGTATGAAAATATCTTCTTTTCTGCCTCTCAAAATTATTATAGAACAACAAATTTAGTTATAATTTTTACACAATCAAAGACTTGAAGAATTTTTCAAATGTTAGCTAAATTAATAATAAGGGACTGAAGTTTTAAAATATAACAAATAAATATGATTTTCCGTTAGCTTTTAAACACTTCCAATCTAAGTACCGATATGAGCCAAAAATTCATAGAAAGAGTTTTTACTCTCTTAGTAAACGGTCAAAACTTTTTGTTTTTGTATAATTTTGTATCTCTTTATGACGTCTTTACCATATGAGAAAATAAGAAAAAATTAAATATAGGGTGCATATAAAAATTTAAATATTCTAAAAAATTAAGAAAAATAGAGAAAATTCGGATTAACCAAAATTCACTTTTGTTAAACTATTTGTGTCAATTTGTTAATATAATCTTATAGAACGTATATACATGTAGTAATATCTTTTTATGCAAAAAGAAAAACATTTAATCTTTTGAAATAGAAGACCCTATCGCATGATTGGATGCAGTCATTTTTATTCTTAATGTCCAGGGAAAAGGTAATGACCTTGACCTGACCTTGACTCTAATATAAAACGGTCAAAACTAATCTAACTGATACCATCACTTAGTAATATTGTCTTCTTGATTCTGTGAAAATTTCATTAATTTTTAAATACAGGAAATACAGTTTTGTGTGAGAAGAATTCTACCTTAAGAATACAGTAAAACTCGCTTAGTACTGCGAATTTACGGATATAGCGAAGTAATTTCATAGGTCCCAGCGATTTAGTTATAACAGAGTTTTCCTATGTATGTAATTTTCTTTTATCGCTTTCATGGTAAGGACTCATTACTAGTATATCGATGTGTTTTCAATTGGGTTGAGTCCTTTAAAACGCTTGCGTTTGTAAACCTATAAAAAAATCTTCATTTAGGTCTAACATAAACAATTTATTTACTAACTCACATTTTTGCATCGAGCTTAAGCGTTTTGAGATTTATTTCACGAAATTGGTCTTTTAATTGGAAAGAAATTATTTCGTCTAAGAAAACATTACCCATACATCCAACAAAAGTTTACTAAAATCTAATAAAACCTTACTAAAATCACTGTTACAATATCGTTGCTCTCTTGTAGCATTTGGACATTGACAACATTCCGCGGGAAGAACCAGTAGGTAGAACAATCCAACAGCCACAAGCAGCATATCGAACGTGAAACGCATGGATGATATCTAAAAAGAAGTATTGTTTACTTTACTTTATTAATTAATTCAGGTAAAATGTTTATGTAATCGATATCTTAAGTATTCCATTTTTTTTTACTCTGAACAATATCAAAATAAGAATTTTTCATTTAGAAAAATTGAAGATTTAAAAAAAAATAATTAATGCAGAATCTGACTGCTTTTAATCATATATTAATCAACATAAAAAGGAAATAAAAAGATCTTTATTGCCTTTTAAAATACGGTTTACTCACCATGTAAAGATACGTTCTCTATTCCGCAATAATAATTTCTGGTAATGCTAGTAACTGCCTGTTGACATGATTTTATATGAGTGATATTTGCTTCCTTTGATATTCAATTTTATTGCGTTTTGTTTGCTCTTAATACATATTATCCGTAAGACAGCATTAATCAATCAAGTATACATTTATCATTCATGCCGTGATTTTAAAAAAGATCAGTGAAAAGGTCATCTATCAGTAACAGTCCCATTTAACGATGAATCGTTGGAAACATTTCTGTTTTCAAAATGTTGTCTTCATTTATTTCTGCAAATTTTCAATTTATTTACGTGAATATTTTTTTTTTAAATTTAGTTTGTAAATCATTCTAATAAAGACATGGATAAAGGAATTTGAGATTTATTAACAAATAAACAAAAACAGTTGATTCATAATTGATAATCTGTTACATGTAGGGATGTCAACGAGTACCCGGTTAACCGGGTACTCTATCAGTAACTAAAATCGGTCTCCATTATATTTTTGAATATTTTTAAGCTTATTTATTAATGCATTAAAAAGTCTGTTTTAAAACGTAAAATGCTCATTGCACCTGTACATACAGTAATGTGTTAAATGACCGTTATTGCCTGTGGCAAAATGTGACCAAGCATCTGTAACTGGCTTTTCTCACCTTTAATTTTTGTTTGGCTTTAATTATTTGTTTTCAAATTTTGTTTAATAAATTAGATAATTTTGTCAATTTATTTAAAAGAGCGGATGATATTACGTGCGAATATTTTTTTTTATATGCCATTTTGAAGGCAAAGGCTTTGATGTCCATCGTTGCAACAAAATACCGTCAGTAATATTATAAAATCTAATAAAGACAAAATCGTAAATCCGCTCTGATAAAGTTGAATTTACTGAGATTTATTAACAAATAAACAAAAACACTGTGAACAACTTATGATTTTATTTCTTGTGTTTATCTGATAAATAAATATTTTTTTTTAAAAATGTTATAATAAATTTCGTCATAATTGATAATACATTTACGGATAAGTTATCAGTGCATCTGGTTTTATTTCTGCAATAGCTTACAATGTTGTACATTTCAATTTACTTGTTCATATTTATTTACACTTTTACCGATAAAAACGTTAAAAAAATTGACCGATTTGACATCCCTAGTTGCATGTATTCCGCACTCATTTAGAGACTCATTTAGATAATAAAAACGTTACAAATAACGATGGATTGATTCTAGGTCAAAATCCTCCAAGAGTCCCCTGTAAAAAATTAGATGAACGTAGTACATGTATCTGTAATTTTAAAAAATAGTTAATTTTCCTCGAGGTCAGTAATAAATCTGCTTTAATTCAAGAAGTGGTGTATATCAGAATATGAATTCTGAATAGATGTTTTGGAAAATTTTAAATCTCTTAAAAACTTTTAAGATTTCATTAATATCATTTTTTTTCTTTGTACAACAATTTCTCATGGGGTTTTAAAAAGCAGATTTTCACTTTAATGACAATTGCTTTCTAAAAACTAAATATATACACGTTTCTTGTTATATAAGCAAAATTTATTCAAAACAACTTTATCACAAGAAGAAATTTCTCGCTGTGGCCTCCAAGTTAATATTTAGGTGTTTAAGTTAATATTTAGATTTTTTTACACTGGAGTTTTCCCAAAAGTGACACTCTTTAAATAATGTAAAAATAGTTTATTTGTTTCAAATACAATCTGAAAATGGACAAGAAATAAACAACTATGAGATACAAACAGGGGTAATGGAAAAGAATAACAAGTTTTGTACATGTCTAATAAATGAATGGTCCAATATTTTTAATCATGGTAGTATTTTGAAGAAGTTATCAAATAAAAATGCTCCACCAAAGGAATTTACAAAATTTTGATAATCGCCCAATTAATTTCACCTTGAATTTTAGATTGAAGTCTATGGGCAGCACATGTTTTTAAAACATATTGTAAAAAGTAATTTGAATTTCAAACAAATCTCTTGGTGAATATATGTAAAAACTCCCTCCTTATTCAACTATGAAATAAAATGAATTATTTACAGCAGAAAATCTGAGAAATCAAAAATTTTCTTCTTTTCATCAAGGGCAGATAACTCTTCAAAAACTTTTGATGTGCAAATGATTGGCTCCTTACATGTTATCAGTCTTGTGGATTTGGTTAATTTCACTTTTATCATTATCTAGCAATGTGTTTTTAACTAGTTTAAAATTATTTAAAATCAAAATCAAAATCCCTTCATTATACATTGAATACCTTAATTATATTTAAAATTATTCCTCTCCAATTTTAATACACATCTGCCACCGTTCTGCTCATGCCCGAATCACGTAGTATAGGCGGTCACGTGACCCCCTTTGTAACGTTCTGTCACATAAGCTGAAAGATTTTTCCGAGTTTTATATTTCTTTCCATGCAAGTTAATTTTTATAACAAGAACAATTCATTTGTCAGAAATGGTCAAATCTCGGCAACAGAATGGGCGGATAGGAGCATCCTTTCCAAACATGAGCATGGCGACCATCAAATCCCAAATCTACCGTCTCGGGAGAGACGTTTATACAAGATGGATAAAGAATGGATGCCTACTTTTTATCATATGTAATATGTTTCAAATCTAAAGTAAACGATATCCTACGTATTTAATAATCAAATCATTGTTAAGATATTCAACTATTTTTCAAACTGTTAATTGGAGGTCTTTGATAAAAAGTTGCTTAATTAAAAACACATCTCTTTTCAAACTTGCTTTTTAATAAACTGTGTATAAATTATTATACGCTACTGCAAAGGAATTTCCGAGATATATCATAAATTTTACAGCCGTTGTTGAACGTGTACGACTGAGACAACCATTCTTTGTCACAAGTGATCTACATAGTGACGTCATTTTCCCATTGTGACGTCACAAACAAGGAGCAAAACTTACTACAGCATATGCTATTTATAGAACCTGTGTACGGCTATGTGTGTACCAATTTTTTTTTTTAATTGTGAATTGTGGTTTTGTAGATATAGAGATAGTTCGCGATTTTTTTTATCACCCCTCGTATTTATTTTATCAATATGTTTAAGTTAAAATATTTCAGGGGTGTGTTATTATACCCTCTTTACATAATTGTTTTGTTTATGCATTTTTTTTTATATCGATCACTGTTCTTTATATTTACCTTTTACATCAAAAGAGAGGAAATTTATTTTATGTATTCCCAATTCATCGATTATTGTTTTTAATCATTTATGTAAGTGATTGATGATTATATATATTTGCTTAACAGTTTTAGTTACAAGAGAGAAAAATGATATATACATGTACCATGTGAATCCACAATTTATGAAAGTCGAATTAACACAATTATTTCGGACAAATATGCACATATCTTTAAATGACATTTTTTCCTCTTATACAAACGTTCACACCCTCACATATCTTTATCCTAACATCCTCACCCAAATTCGTATTTTAAAAAAAATCGTCAGGATGTGAACATAAACAAAGCATTAATTTCAAGTTTTAAAAAAACGCAAAAAACTAAGATCACAAATATATACCGGTATACAAATACTTGTAAATACCTGAACTTTTTTTTTTTAAAAGTGTGCTTATAAAAATTACTACTATGTATGAGAACTTATTACTGTCATGATCATATCAGAGGATGTAAGGTAGAATAAATCAAAAAATAATAGAACACATGCAAGTCTCTTCAGTGGTTGTCTTAATTGCTTGCAGATATCAAGGATAAGAACTGATTTCATCAGAAAAAAGGATTTTTATAAAACCACGCATTTAGAACAACAACCAAAATAAAATATGATAAAATGGATATAAAAAGGAATGTATTTCAAAATGTAACTTATTTACATGTATCAATGCTAATCCATCATTTCTCTGTACCGATTGTAAATATCTTGGTTTCTATTCATATAACCACCGAACATCATGCCGACTCCCTCTCTTACATAGTCCATGCTTTCTGGTGGCTCTGCATTCATGTGATTTCTCATCATACTCCCATGGTCCATATCACCTCTCCCTGTGTACTGAGGTGAGAACATTTGATTTCTCATCATACTTCCATGTTCCATATCACCCCTTCCTGTCTGCTGGGGTGAGATTTTGGACATTTGATTTAAAGTGTTTTCCGGGGATGATATATAAAACCCTCGGTTTAAATCGTTTTTAATGGAAGTTTGTGGCATCTGTTGATTATTTGGATATATTGTATTGTCTTTAGAGTAACTGACTGGTTGATTCTGTAATTTTGGGGCGATATACTTCTGTGTGCTGCAGGAAATTTGTTTGTGTAACAAACGCCATTTTACTTTAAGTGGAACCTCATCCCATAGTTCCATCCAACAACAAGAATCAATTTTTCCTCTTATTCCTTCAATGATTTGTCCTTAATAAAAAAGAAAAAGGCGATTCCAGTGGAATTAGCTATGCACCTGTTGATGATTTTATATGATTTTTATCAATTACCAACTTATCAAAGTTCAATTTTATTAAGATTGTAAATTAATATCTGTATAACATCTGTGTCTAAGTTTAAAATGTGTGAAAGGGTGAATAGTCTTTTCAATTTCTCTATATATGACTTAGACCTGATGATATGATAAAGTATTCTTTAAAAGAAAACTCACCTGCAAGAATGTAATCCTTTCCGACACTCAATAACACACCGCACTGTGCTGAACTCGTTGGACTCTCAAGTTCAATATATTTAGGGCCAGACCCCTACAGCAAGGACATCCTTTCATTATTTAAACTCTTACTTCACAATTTGTATTTATTTATATTGTTAAAGTAGAACAAAGTACTCTTAGAGAGTTTTCAATCAGAAGTTTTTAAAACTAACCTTGATATGAAATTTGACTTGGATGACGAAAACGTTCTTCTCCGCGCCTGGTGTCCCAATACGACCAACTAAACTTCCAATGATAGCTAAAATAAACAATATCTGTTATTTTATTTTTTTTTGAGATATTCCTAAAGTGACCATAATTTACCAGTAAAATTAATAAATCATCAAACTTAATTTTTGATGCAAAATATATTAATTTGTGACATGTAAAACGGTCAAGAAAGATTAAAATCAATTTGCTATTCCCAATATGTAATAAACATTGCAAAACTTTCTAGAATAAAACATCACGCATTTATTTGTGAAATAAAAATAGATAGTGTTAGACCTATACGAACTTTATTACTTTTTTATTAAACCATATCGTTTTGAAAATAGAAACAAGAAGCTTGTCACTTATTTCCAAGTTATTAAGATCTATAGAGTAGTTTGTTTTCTTACTGTAATCACTTTTGCAGAAATTTTCTTCCCTGGTGATGTTTGGGCAGTTGCAACTTTCTACCAGATGCAAAAAACATACATAGAAAATGGCGACCAAGAGAAAATTCCTCACACAGTTCTTTGTAGACTGAAATTGGCAAGAATAGTAATTTAAATTAGCTAAAATAACTTTTCATATTTCAAGAATAGCTAATAATCTGCTATGCAAGGAATTTTGCGGTCGGTAGAGAGAATGTAGGTTATGATCCTCTGGGCTTAACTGTAAAAATCATTAATTATATACACCTTAAATTTTTATTATTGAACGTTCAATAGAAGAATTATTTTAAGAAAAATGTTTTATTAGATAGATAAGTATCTCTTTGGGAAAATTTAATGCATGAAAGATAATTTTATTAATTTGTGCAAGAATTGAATTTTTGAAATTTATCGTGTGAATGTTTCCAATCAATGAGCTGAAATACAGAAAAGCTGAAAACCAAAGTTTTAAAGCAGACAAATAGAGCAAAGTGTATTTAATGAGGGTATAAAAGCAAATATATCTGATTACAATTAAACTCAAAAGAATAAAAATTAAAACTTTCTTACCATTTTGTTTTTGCATCAAATTTATTAACCCTTGCAATGTTAAGGTTAAATTGTGAGGAAACTGCCTACGTGTAAATGACTTATCAATGTTTTTAAGAGCCATCGTGATAATCATACAAATTAAACATTAGAAAAAAAAATTTAGAATAAAAATATATCAAACTTTTTCAAGTCATATACAATGCAATGCGACATATTTATCTATTATTTATCTTCCATGGCACCTGATCCCACCTCTAATGATTTGGAGGTCATTAACACTACACTTTGTATTGTTTTGACTTTTGAACCCTTCTCCATATGTTAAGGTTAAATTGTGAAAAGTGAAACTGCCTAACGTGTAACGATGACTAATATTTTGCATCAAATTTAATGTAATTAGCAGAGCCATTGATTTTGATCAAAAAGTCAGAAATAAGCAAATCCATTAAAACATATGCCACACGATATCTCTAGAAATTTGAGCTATTGCAATGAAACTTTACATAACAACTCCCTGTGGCCTAGTGAAGACTTTTTTTGAGGTCAAAAGGTCAAAGTTCATTTTATACATTCTGTCTAAGTGTAACACTATCATTTCATATTTCTTTTGTATATATTTTAACCAAAACTCCCACCAACCATTTATTTAAGTATTACATGTCGCTATTTTTAGCGCAGGGGCATGAGGCAGTTATTGCGTATGAAACATATTTATGTTCTTGTTACATCTATTAGAACTGTTTAATAAAGGCTAAATAAATCAAACACCATGGATTGTGTAAAATTTTGAGAATACTGAACATGATTACATGTATGTGACTTCAGTTCTGCATATACTGTGTGTAAAGCGATTCCGTAGTCGAGTGGTTATGTCTCTCGCTTCACATGCGTTTACCCCTCCTCCTTTTTTTTTACTTGATAGTATTCAGCATGTGAAATTTTATGAGGTTATAAAATCATCATTACAGTGTGATAAATATTCCATATAAAAAGAATCTTCTATACACATAATAAAGAATAAGCAATCAAATCTGTATATGCATATTGACATACATGTATTTTATTTGCCTCAGTATACATGTATACATTTAATAATTCTACAAATTCAGTATCACAATTAGCTTGTTAGTATCACAAACCACTACACGATACTTTGGACCATTTTTAAATTAATCCTTCATAGAATAGTGAAGTCTTTGTTCTTGAAACTCTGACAATTTTTCTTTTAGATGCCTTCCCAGCAGCATTTGTATTATTAACTGCATATATACTGATTTCTTTCATTGGTTATCACGAAAGTCGTCAAAATGTCTTTCCTCTTAAGGACGTTCGATCCTGTGCTTTTGAGTCAAATTTGGTCTGGACCTTTATTTCTAATATTCTGATTTGGTCTGGACCTTTATTTCTAATATTCTGCATCGTTTTTAAGTTTTAACGTTGAGTTTAGATTCTACAATGTAAGTAAAACTATATCCATTGCAAAAACTGCAATTAAATTCCATTCAAGAAGGGTTAAGCCAGGGACTTTATTTTGTGGCTGAAGGTTTTTTAGAAGAAAATTATCAATTTATCCCTTTCGAAATTTATAGAGTACTGTTAATTTTAGATTCCTATTTTTCCATGCTGGTTGCACACAAAGCTGTTTTTTGCAGTGAAATGTGTTATGCGTGATCTGAAATATCTATTAAATTATTTCTTATGAATTCTTTCGAAGAATTATTACAAATATAGTAAATATATTCCGAAAGTCCAGGAAACAATTGAGCCAATTTTAACAGAAAATTGACAAATTTTTCGTAATATCTAAAAATTTCCATCATATACCCTCACTTTTGATTTTCTTTTCTGAATATTTAAGATAACTTTGACCTACCTGCTTAAATTCAGCAAAAGTTTAAGACTTTAAAATAATTTTCTTGCTTATTAAATTTTCAATGCCAGAATAATCGCATTTTGTGAGTGCAGAAAGGTCAAATAATTGCGTAGCAATTTGAACCTTTTTCCTAGTCACAATTTTCAAGTGTCTTTTTCAAAATAGACTTATAGTTTTATTTTGTTCCATGCTTTATTTGGATAAAAATATTAAAGGGAAAACATTGAAGATGTAATTTTTTATCAAGACATAGATTTCAGTGCAAAAAGGTCATATTTAATGTACTGTAGCGCCAAAAGAAGCGTATTGACCTCCATATTTTGATATGATTTTTAATTAAGCTATATGTGTAGAAAGTAAAAATATACTTGACAAAAAAAGTTTAAGACTTTAAATATCAGGATCAAACGTCGTTAAGGATAAATAACACAAACTTTTTTTTCAGAAATCAGCAATATTTCTCATAGATTTACATTTGAATAAATAACCTAAATGATATTTACCAAGTAAAATGGGAAACTTTTATAAGATTTTAAATAAAGTTCAAAATGTGTGCAAAATTTTGTATGGTATTATACAGGAAGCAAAACAAAGTCTCAAATTTAATCACGAAGGAAAACCTACGATTTCTTTATATTTCAGGGATTTATTATTTATGTAATTTCAAATCAAAATCAGTCAAAATATATGTTACAATCCTTGCATCATTTTTTTGTTTGCGTTAAGTACACTTAAAAGAAATACACAGTACACAATATTATGTTTTGCAGAGTTAGTAATATTAGATCGTAAATAACAATAGAATAAATAATTGTCTTTTCTCCTCTTTTCTCCTCATGCCTTTTTTCTGAATATTTATTAGTATATATTTTTATTTGTTATATGCAAACGTTCATCTTACATCTTATTTTTTCAGTAAGATAATACTTACTTTTATAAAAATCGATTTCTTCATCCATTATTAATTCATTGGCATAAATTACTTGCAATGTTAGGTATTTTTTAATCATTACAAATTTATATTTCTTTTTTTTTTTTACATTTTAGATCTAGTTATTTGAGAGAGAGAGAGAGGGAGAGAGAGAGAGAGAGTTTTCTATTTTACATTTTGATAGAAATATGAATTTTAAAAAATATATTTATATTTCATTTATTCTGTGCATGATAAAATTAACAGTTCAGCTCAGGAGGTCAACATATTTTACTGTGATAGATGTTTGTCATTGTTAGATAAATCTTTGGGAACCTTCGGAACTCTTGTCATTAATCACCTGTAATTAGCAAAATCTATTCTTTATTAGCATATTATCTATTTACCGTCTTACATTCCTAATAAAAAATCTTCGTCGTTTTCTGAAGATGCATGAAAATACTAGTCATATTTCTACCATAAACATAGATAAATTTTTCCATAATACTTGACTTCTAAGAACACATTGATTACAAGGGACTTATCCGGTACACAAAACAATGGCCGACATGTTTGTTTTCTTCCTCGACCGAGTTTATTCATAACCCTCTACCCGAGAAGATGAAAACTGTTTTGGACTTCAAATAACATGATCCACGATCAAATACATTTAATATGTCTATCGATATATCTAGTGGGCGGGACTCATGAAAGAAAGCTTGGAGTCTGGTATAATTGTTACATATTGGTATAATTTACAGAATACATATATAACTATAGTAGTAATAAACCACTAATTTCTGTGATAAACGGAGTGTTTTTAATGAAACATATGGAGTAAATGAACAGTATTCAAGATCAAAAGTCCATAAACAATACGTAATAGGAGCAGAGCAAACACGAACCTCCGAAACATCAGAGGTGGGATTAGGTATCATCCCTAACCCTCCAATCCCATTCTTCCATATTTATTAATAAGTAATTAATACACTATTTTCCATTCTATGATGTCTTTATTTATTTAAGATATTTCGTTGCGCATGGGCAAGTGTGCGATTAAATTTTTTCCGAGGCAGACTACTGACACGTTACGCAAGATGTTAGTGACGATTGACGTTACGTTTTCATAGCGCTACGGAAAAAAAATTGACGTAACGCTTCTATAGTGTAATAGTGTTACTAGCTCTATGGGTACCGTATTGCTATATCAAATGGTAAATAAAAGATATAGAGTTTACCTGAAAAAAAAATAATAAACAAAAATTAAGCTATGTTTTATATCTGATAAAGTTTGTTAATTACTCAAATCACTCTTTTAACACTTTTTCGTGCATTACATTACGCAAAACTAAATAAGCGTAAAGAACGTCCACCGGACAAATATGTTGAACCTACTAAATGTTGCGTAAAATATTAATTAATAGAGTAAATTTATCAATCTGACATTTAATTTTATTGTTTGGATTAGCACATTATGAACATATAATTATTATTGAAATTGATTTTAAAAAGAGATAGAATTTATCTGTACAAAAAACGGCATGATCATTTTTTAACGTCATTTTAGACGCTGGACTTTTCTGTTGAACTTGTAATCTATCCATTAGCTACAAAGCATGCGCTCTAATATCAAAATTAATGAATTATTTGAAATATATATGAAAAGCCCATTTTTAATACAATTTATTTCTATTTAAACTTTCTTGTAAAGGAGTAAAATTAAAGTTTAAATCCAGATGCACGTTTTTACTTAATAGCGATACGAATTTTTCTT